ACATCTTATGGCTTAACTCTATTCATTGATGTATAATTAAACAAGTATATAATATACATGATATTCAAATAATGTTTCTGATAGATGAACGACACGCATTCGAATCAATAAAGATTAAGCTACGATTTGTAGAGAAAGGAAGATGATGATGGCATTGATGTATTTCATTCGCGATGGAAAAAAAATAATAAAATAATAAATGAACAAATTTAATCTCCGTGAGCGTAACGAGTGTTACTGTATTGTTTGTCGACGTAGGTGGCAGTTATTGATTTTATCGTTGAAAGCCATAGAATTAATGACAATTACTACGTTACGATCAAAAACAACTGTCAATACATAACGATGGACAATATTGTTTTATTTCACTAACGTTGTAAGTGATATTTTAACATGCAAAAAAAAAAAATGTCTAAACAATCTAACTTAACATCAAAGTTTTTATTTTATTGAAAGATGAAAAATGAGATATTCGAGGTAGATACTTATTTTATAAAGGTATCAGATTATTGGTATCGATAATAAAAAATATTAAAGTTTATAGCAACAACAATATTGCACAAAATACACTGTGTTTTTCTTTTTTCGTATATATTTCTTTTCAACATAAACTAAATATACTTTTTTTATGTAAAAAAATAATTGCGAGAGTTTGTAGAGTTTTATAAAAATAACGAAATTATTAGAAATAAAAATTCCAGTGGATGGTATTTTTTTACCAATTATTATAATGTATTAAATAAAAAGAGCTATCGAAATATAGTAAAATTACAAACTAGATTTTCATTATAAATAATGAATTCAATGCATAATTTATCTAAGAATATTTACAATATTATTAATAAATTAAAATTGAATTCAAAAAACTCTTCACACTTTAATAATATCGATGTAATAAATTCGACAATTTTGATCATATAACGTATATTTTATATGAAATATAACACTTATTATAAATTAAAATACTCTCTACCTACAACATTGCTATCCTATAACGTAATTTCAACCGACCTGGGACTACTCTCCAACTTTAGTGTGTGTTCTATCAATTATTATCAGCAGAACATTTCTCTATTGTTCGTCATAGCAATTAGATTATTGCAAATATATTTCAATATTCAAATGCCACCCAAATTTCATCATCAACTTTCCATTTACAATAATCAATATTTCACGTTAGAGAATATGTTGAATAAAGTAAATGAGAAAGACTTTTTATTTAATCAACTCTTTTTCTGGAAAGAATAAGAGAACCTACAAAAAAGGTGATTCCATAGTAAAGAATGAGTATGAAATCTGGTTCTTTCGTATCTTACCTTGAGAATAAATCGGAAATTCACCATCGCTGTGACTGTGAGTAAGCATTCTTGTAGAATAAAACCGCCAAAGTGGACGTGGAAGCTTTTGATTCTCTGCAGAAGAACCAGGACCGATAGTCTCGTCTTTGGTAAGACTCAGCAAACTTGTTACGTCTCGGAGCGACACTCCGACAACGACCGGAGTGTCGCTCGGTGATTTCTCCTCTTCCCACAGGATTCACGATGATTATAAGACTTATGTAATTATTGTGACTCCAAAAAAATTTTTATCATCACCACAATAAATTGTTCACTTAACCCAAGGTTTTTAAATATGTTATAGAAACACACTCACTATTTTACTCTTTTTTTTTCTATGTCTAAATAATGACGATGAAAGTTTCAATAGTAACTTTTATTTTGTTTCTGTCCTGAGGAATTAAACTTGTGTCCTAAAGAGACAAGAGTTAGGTAGAAACTTAAGGAAGGAAAACCAAGAGTAATGACATTAGTTTCTAATTTAAAAAGAAAACCTTTACAGATTGAAATTTATTTCAATATATCTAGACAATTATCTAGCATGTTGGAATTGACTATAAATGTTGGCTACCCAACAAGACAGTGTTTTTGTTTAGCTATTAAACAATTAAGAAGTGAATATAAAAACAAAATAATAATAACAGCAAATCGTGGGAAAAATAAATAGTTTTTTTTTGTTTAAAAACAAAAATACTGCAATTATGGAATACTTGCAATGAAAACTTAATAGTTGCGCGAAAGAAACCGTGAACGAGTCTTTGGTAATTATGAAGCTAAGTGCTAACTATTTGAGATACGTTTTAATTAGCTTCAAGTACTCTTAAGAATCTTCAAAGGTGATTTTTTTAAATTGATAATTATCATTATATTTGATATTAAAAGAAAAAAAATTATTGAATGTAATGATAACCATTTTTATTCTCAATGTGTTCTAGGACACAGTTAATCAAGATCTAAATGTCATCATGGTTAGAAAAAATGAATAAATCATATGTGCTTTAAGGCATGAAGGTTCCTGCATTGACAATTTTCTTATTCATATTCTGAGGTTCATTTAGAATTTTTGAATAAAATTATATATTCTAGTAAATATAATTCTGTTAATATATCCAATAAAATATATATTTTTTATGAATCTGAATATCTTTGAAGAATCTTCTTTGAGATATTTGAAAAATATTCCATGAGTTCTCTTGAATATTTTGCATTCAGTGGTAGCATGCAGCAAAAATAAATAGTGAAATGTTTTTCTTGAGTGTCAAATAAGTCAGCAAAAACTCCTGCTATATTGTGATAATATCAAATAAAAATTTGATATAAAAACCTTACAACAGTGAAATGATTGTTGACAATTTACAAAGAATACTTGTTTTATTTTAGTTTATAACAAAAATTGCAACTGGTTTAGTTGATGATTTCAACAACTGCAGTATGAAGGCAGTGGTATCCAAAGAGTTATGTCACAATTGTTCAAGAAAAAATAAAAAAACTCTATAGTTGTTTATAATCATAGCACACTTTTTAAAAATATTTTTTTTAAACAAAGCTTGACCACAGAATTTGTGATTAATATTTCAGTGAGTTCCACACGTACTAGCTTTTGAAGCAGAAATTCCTTATTAGGAGGCACGCGGTTTTGCTCAACAAGCTTAAGACTCTTCATGTAACTACTGTGTAAATAAAAGTTTCATGTACTTGATTTGACAAACAATTTACTGGACGGCACTGAGAATGAAAACACAGATTAATTATTTTCCCTGGTTCAAATGGCTATTTATTCGCGCAAAAGACCTTCGTTGAACGAGTACGATGCGCGCACTGGGATGAGAGAAACCGGGGACCAAAACCCGGAGAAGAAAAGCCGAGTAGCGCAGGGTGGGATACCAAGTGAACAGAGAGGGTTGCTTTTACCCCCAGTTCAGGGATAAGTCTGTAGGAGCAAGAGAGAGAAGATGATAAAATGGAACAGCGCAAGCTTAGTTTTAGAGAGACATGCTTCATTGTGCCTTCTCCTAGCTCTCATGTTTTGAGCGAATGTAAACCTGAACCAACAAAGCTTTTCCAAGACCTGAAATACTTCTTTACCGAGCTTTAAATACTTTTCATAACATCTCTTAGAACTGACCTTCATTTCCTATTTTTCACTGTTAATGCATCTAATAAAAATTCAAACTTGTTTTAAAATATTTTCTAAGTGTGAAATAAATCTTTTTTATGGTTGCATGATAATGAAATATTCTAATATTCTATGTTAATTATTGGGTTGTACATTATTAAAATTTTCTTCAAGTGCAAGAAATATTTTAATTAAATTTAATGCACTTGAAAGTAAGTCACGTGATAAAATGATATGAAAACTTGAAATATTTATCATAACTACATTCTTCAATAAACTAGATTAATGAGAGGATATTTCAAGTTTAAAATATATATATAAAGTTTTTTCATTTATTTTTTAGACTGCCTAAAAGTTTGTGAACAAAATGTAATGATTTATTTATTACTAACAAGTGTAAATTTATTCATTAACTTTTTTATCTTTATAATAAATTTGAATATAAAAAAAAAACATATTGAAAATAAAAACATTTTTCAACAACTCAGTTGTAAAGAGTGATAAAAAACATTAAAAGATAAGAAAATTTAAAACTGATATAAATATTAAGGAGAAAGTCACTTATTTAATTTATATTAAAATCCTGACAGCACATACAGAGTATATGGAGATATATATGTTAACCTTCCAGACAAAAACGGACTGATTTTTTTACATATACTTAACGTGTTCCTATTAGTCTAAAAAATCTCTTTCATGTTGATAATTATAAGGAAAATGATGTAAATTTTCATAAACTCCTCTTTAAAGACCACAAACCCACCGCAAGGTCGAGTATATTCACCCTCGTGACCTGAGTGACTTTGTACAGGTCATGGACAAGAATAAACAATTTACTTTAGTAGTAGATCTTACCCAATTTTCGGGTTAAAATAGAATTTATGCATAAATTTCATGTCTAATTCGTATGACCGTTGATGTCATTATCCAACTGAAGGTGTGTATTTGATCAATTTCCTAATTAGTTCCAGAGAAGGAAGTAAATATTGATTTAACATTACTTACCAATTTCCTTTTCACATGTGAGTTCTGCAAGTTCATCCTTTTCTGCAGGTGTTTCATCTTTTGCATCATCAACTGAAAATTAAGTCAAAAAAATGAATAAAATGAAATGAAACTTGATTGATTAATTAAAAAACTGAAAATATTGAATGACTATGATTTTTTGAATTTTATTGAGATTCATTTTCTTTATTTCCAAAAAAAACTAATACTATTTTTAGTACAAAATAATTTTTACAATAAAAATATTACCTTCTAAAAGATACTTCACTAGAAGCATTTTTTCAAATTAAATTATATCGTTTCTTATAAAACTCTGAAGTTGAGTGAATTTCGATAAAAAAAAATTACCAAATAAAATATTCAAAAAATATTTTATTGCATTTATCAAGTCCTTATTTAATGTAATTATATGTAATCTCATATTACATGGAATTGAATCGAATCAAATGAGATTTCATAGTCTATTAGATATTCGAATTTATCAGTTCAATTATGAACAATATGTTCCCAGGCACTCAATTGATTAGTTAACAGCTATAAAACAATCAGTCAATGATGTCAAATGTATCAAAATATATATTATAAATTGTAGAATGTTTTGCAACATCTTCGAAGGTTTCGTTGGTCTTTAGCTGGTAAGAAGCTAATGATTTTCAATTTTAATTCATTTGGAAGTCCCAAAAGACTAGGATTCATTACCCCTAGTTTATTCAACACTTCATCTCTGATTGGTGTTGTTAATAAATTTCTGAACCTGCATAAATATTACTTATGTATATCACAGCTTTGAATATTACATACATTCATAATTAAAATTAAAATAACAGATAAATACAAAAAAAATGATTTTCAAAAATAAGTTTCAATTATAATTACTTGCAAGTAAATTTTTTCAAATTCATAAAACGACAATCAAAATTACTGGCATACACATTGATATATTCTAAGGGTTTCCACTGCTAGACTTCTTGTTTTGATTGATTCGTCTTCTGATGTCAAATTTAATATCATAACATCGCCGACAAGAATGGCATCTAATATGCAGTTTAATTCTGGTGTATTGAGATGTTTAAACTTTATTTGATAAGCACCATCAATAATCCATTGACTTGGATCCAACTCTGCGAAGTCACCTCTAAAAATAAAACAAAAAATTATGTTCATAAATGCTTTACCAAAAAACAAGTGTTGAAGGATGTGTTTTTTCTAAAGCTATGATTATTATTAGTGTCTTTAAAGGATGTTTAAATGTTTTTATTTGTTTAGTATTGAATGACATTTACTACTAATTGAACATTTACTTACCTATTATGAGCTTTTTGGATATCATAACCATTTTCTTTCATAATGATCATACTCAAAGCAATAAGGTAATCATGGTGAGTGACATGTTTATCTTTTGACGTAAGAATGTTTTCCAAAATTGATGGAAAAGTCGACATTATTACTTTTTACACGACATGCATGTAGATTATGTTCATGTTAACAATTGAAAACAAATATTAATTGTGAAACATAACAGTGGACTAAATTTGTATTGTCATTCATACAAATAAATAATTTAAACTATGTAAACACTTAAAATTTGTTAATAACTATGATTGTTGTGATGATTATCGAACAAGTGCTCCGTTACTGTGCAAATGATTTCAGTGCTGACAACTGAATACATGAGTCCCTATCTTACCCATTAACCATTAGCTTTATCTGTTGGTAATAACTCTGCAAAAATTTTTTTTTGCATTTTTGAACTTTTGACATATCATACGTATAAAGATATTTATTCGCATAATGTTTTAATATTAATGCATAGTTGATGCAAAATAATTAATTTATTATCAACTGATGAAACTTCTACTCCATAATTTAAAACCAATTAACGGTGCAATAACTCGAGACTTTTTTAATAACATCTACTTTATGATTCATCTCAAAAAACATATGAATTTTGTTTATGGATATGTTAATAAACAGATTTGTTTTAGAACATGAACAAATTCACAGTTATTCTTCAAGGTATTATTTACAATGACATGAAAATGCTGGTTAGTCGAACAGAATTTACATAATGTTGAAAAATATTCATAAACATGACAAAGATCAACAGTATTTTATTTCAGCACTGCTCGGCATGCAAGGGCGCTTTGTGCCACTTGTTGCATATAATAATAGCGCTCTACACTCGTGTATTCGGGCCATAAGAAATCGGGACACTACAAACATGATGTCTAACGTACCGTTTAAATTCTCCAGTGGTTCTTGGTTTTCTTTGATTTGACAAGTTGACTCCTCATCGCAATCCACTTCATTTGACACAATTTTTGAACTCACTGCTGGACCGAAGATATCGGCCATTTTACAGGTTAACTATCGTTAACCTGCTACTTACTCATACTTGCAAACATTCGAATCCCAATTTTATTTTCCAAAACTTTCAAGGCACGATAAACCGACAGCTCCTTTCCAAAGTTGCCATTTTTGTTGTACAGATGACGCCAACGGCCACACCTAGCAGCTAGCGACATCTCCTGGATTTTATTGAATTGTCTTCTATTTAATTGCGACGCATTCATTTGTTTTTTGATGCTGGACGCAATAACAGCTAAACAGCTACACGTAAGAATGAAAATTTAAGATTTTTTATTCTTCAACGTTTTAACATGAATACTAATCAACAAATAATTAATAAATATGAAAGTATTAATGTTGAAAGTTAGCCAGATTTGATGTTATCAATTTATTATGATTAAAAAGACCTTTTAAATTAAATGACGCACGACGCCGAAAAGTTCGTTACATTGATATTGAAAAAGGTACATAAAAGTTTTTTTCTTGCAGTTTCCAGAGGTAAGTGTTGATGTTTTTTACTTAAAAAAAAATTGAAAAAGATTTTTTTTTATATAAAAAATAATATCAGAGAAATAAGGTATAAAACAACAAAATGGGATTATATAAAAGAAATAGACAATACTTTTGAATTGAACAATGTCCATTATATTATATATTTTATTTCCACATACACACGGCACGTTGTGAACCTTTTCTTAAATATTAATATTATAATGATGATAATAATTAATAATCGTCATCGCAATCATAATTAGTAATAATTAAAACAATAATAAACGTAATATGAATTTATTAGATACATATATTATATATATATATGTATATATATATTTATATTTATATAATAAATCATATTGTAATAATAATTGCATTATATTCCATATTTATATGTACAGAGGGGTACAATATTGTTTGTTTTCATTATTAATATTAATATTATTATTTTATCAATGTTTATATTTATAATCGCAAGATTCATTTGTTTATTTATTTATCTGTATACATACACAATTAATTAAATTATCAGCCCTTTTTTAATTCGTGCATACGATGTTTATCATTTTAAACTCTAGGGCCCCTTTTTTTCATATTTTTAGAATTTTCCACCAGCTTTTAAGCTCGGGAAATTTCTTTAAAAAATTTCTTCTATTCTTTTTTTCTCTGTTCTACTTGTCTTTAATTTTTATTTTTTGCTCTCAGCACGGAGTCTTTATTTGTTTAAAGCCCTAAACACAACATCCGCTTTCGAATCACGGGACCAATAGTTTTGCTTTATCTTACAAAACATCCATTATAGTCATAGGCCATTTTGATAAGAAAGTTGATCGCCAATTTATTTGATTGCGAGAAAATCATTCTAACGCAATCAATATTATTTGTTACCCTTCATCTAAAAGCGAAGGGAATATACTCAATATTATTTTTATTTATTTCTTACTTTTATTCTTCTATTAAATAATGGCTGATAACATTATTTAAGAATTGCGTTGGGGTTTCTCTTAAAATCGATTACTTAAGAACATTTTCTCGCTGTGCCTTATTTATTTTTTTTTCTATTACGATTGTTTTTCATGAATTATTAACTATCAATCGTAATTTCACTTAGTTATTGTGTTGTTTTTTTATTCTTTTTAATAAGAGCACACACATATTTGCCAGATGAAATCTTTTTTATCAAGGCAATTTATTTTTCTATTCTTGAAACGTTCGACTCTCTCATCAAACGCGGGCCTTTTCATAAATATTCTGTACAACATTATAATTATTATAAATCATCATATATCTTATATATCCTTATCGCTATATTTTCATTATTATCGGTAGTGTAAAATTGAAACTGTACGTACTTACGAAGATAGATTAATTTCTGTTTGCTTTTTTTTGCTTTTTTTAAATTTTTTTTAATTATTTTACTCAATACATTAATCGTATTACTTTTTATTCGTAATTTTTTTTAAATTATTTATTTATTCAATATGTTACTAGACGTATTTGTATTGTTTTTTTTTACGATTAGTAAGAATATGTAAAATTGGTATCTTTTTTGCATGTTTAATTTTAATCAATAAATCTCATAAAGCATCCACATAATTGTTTAATATACATGGAATTAAGAGTGGCTTATTTATTGCTTGTTATATTGCAAGTTTCCTCGCCGCGCTTGTACCGTCGTCCATTCATTTTTTTTTCAACTAATTTATTAATTTTCACATTCAGTTTTCATTATACATCTTTTTTTATAATGTTTTTCGTAGTTCACTCTCTCACACTCACACTTCTATGTTCTCTCTCTCTTTTTTATTCTCTTTTTCTCTCTCTCTCTCTCTCTCTCTCTCTCACTTATTCATAAATTTTTTCACTTCTTTTTCTATCTATCAAAAACGAGAAAGTTTAAACAAATTGACTTTTTCATTCTGTCTGTAAATTTTTATTTTCACTATTCTATTTTTTTTATGAATGATTTTTATTTTTGTTCTACGTGCTCTCATCTCATTTGTTTACTTTTTTGCTCGATGACAAAAAGAATTTTTCTGCCGAGTGGACCGTATTGACTTGATTCATTTAAACTTTTCACTGTGTTTTTATTTACATTTCACGCGGAACTATCTTCTACCGTATAATTTTGATGAAATTAAAATCATCAAAAATATATTTATGCTAAATTGCAATTTGAAAAAAAAAATTACGTCGTGTAAAAATTTTTTTTTAAACTTTTTTTCTTTAATTATTAAGAAAAAAATTTTTTTTAATTAGTAGCGAATATTTTTTTCAAATGTAGATGACAATTGTTTATTAGTTTTCTTTGTTGATCGAAAATTGAATCTTTGTTTATTAATATTCAATCAAGCTGAAATAACAATTTTCACATAAACATTGAAAAAATATATTATTATACGCTTGCACATTTATTGCTTTTGTTCATCAATGTCATTTGCTTAAACCTTTGTTTCCCATCGTTTTCAAGAATTACTACAAATACCACTGTCTCATTTTACGTTAATTGTGGATTTATTTATTACCTTATTTTTCTCCTTAAAGTTCTATGTTTAAACAATTACCATTCTTTATGTATTCACTTTTTTTTACATGCAATAGTACTCATAGCCATTGTTTTTTTTTATTAACGTGTACATGTAAATAAACTGTGCCGAAATATTTAAATCGACATAAATACAAAAATTTAGCATAAAAATTTAATAATCACATGAAATATTGCTCTATCATATATACAAATAATTATTATAATTTTTATTTAATAATTTCATTATAATGACTTAATTATTGAATTTGAATAAATAATTATTTTTACAATAATATTGCATAACTTTTGTTTGCAAAAGTCAATAGTGACTCAATATTATTAATTACATATCAGAGATAAATAGCATTAATCAAATATTATATTTTCATAAAATGGCATTTAAATTTATGCTAGCGAATCACGTGCATATTCATTAATTTATATTCAGATGAAACTTGAAATAAAATTAGTAGATGAAAATTCCAATAAATACATTCAATTAATTACCATTTAAAATATAACACAACTTTTGTTAACATGCAATTTATAGGTAGAAAAATATCATTACAATTCAATTGATATTTCATAACTTATCAGTGAAATATTAAGTGAAGATCTTTTGCGTGATTGAGTTAAACACCATCGTAACATGTAGAATTCCACCCGGCATTTATACTTGATTCATCATTTATAATATTTCACTTATCTTATTAGACCTGCACACGATCGATTAATAAATAATTAAACCGTGATTACGAGCCATTTTATAATGTAATAAACTGACGGTACCATCGGGCTCTTATACTCTGTTCATGTTTATTCGTATTTTATTATACGTTATATTTGTGTCCATTCTTTCGTGTGTATTGTTGATGAATAATAATATAAAACGATAAACCCATTACTAGATTTTGAAAAGGATTCTCTTATGGAATAAATTGTGTATATATTTATTTTATTTATTATATTTTATAATATTTTTTTTTTATAAGAAAAGATGTGTCGTATTGCCTTGTTATAAAATGTTCAATAGTATCGTCATGCTAACAATTTTAATTATTTCCCTTTTTCTCATTTATTAATCTGTAAAATGTGTTTTTCTTTTTTCTTGTGTTTGATGTGCGCCGATGCGAATTTAATGTATATTATATACATATCTCGTTTCTTACGAAGAAACGAGAAATGCGAAAATTGCTTAAATCATTTACAAGAACTGAAGATATTTAAGAATGTTTTTGTTTTCAATATTCGATTAATTATAATAAATTATTATTCCATTAATTAACATTATTCAAAATAAATATTTTATTTCAATTTTGTTTTTGAATATTTTTTATATCAATACTTTTTACTTCTTTATAAAAACTTTATCTTGCTGATATCTTTTCGCTGTTCCTCAAATTTAAAATCATTTTGTATTACAATGACTGATTTTCTTCAAGAAGTTACAAAAATCTTATTTATTGTAGATATATCCACGAGAGAGTATACTTTCTGCTTATAATCTCCCAATAGATACAACGGATAAAAATTAATCATCTCGATTCAAGTCAATTTATTTAAATTAATTTCCATGTAATTCAGTCATTGATAAAATGAGCTTCATCCAAAGAATAATCACAAAGTTCTTTTTAGACAAATTTTTTATAAACAAGTAATTACTAAATACATTTTAATGCAAACAATCAACAAAAAAAACACAAGATCGATAATAGTAGAAAAAATGATGATGTAAATAAATCAATGTGCCATGAGAATTAAGATACACTTAAAATGGCGATGTATTTGTGACTTTTTTTGTATTTTTTTTTTGTTTAATAATGATAATTAATAATAATGGTCAAAAATTGCCTATCTAGCTACGATCCATTTCATAGTTTATTCTCTCTTGCTTTTTTTATTTAGTTATTGTTATCATCTCTTTTCGTACTCACACATACAAATTCGCCCATACATTCATTATTCATCTGTTTTTCTAACTTCAGTAGAATTCACCACTTTTCTTACATCTCTCACTCTCTCGCTGTTTTTTTTCTCTCACTCGGGGATTTTTTTATGTTTTAAATTTTCAAATGTTAATATTTTTCATTTCCTATCTGAAGATTCGATGTAATCTAAGTGGTGAGTTACATTTGAATTTTCATCGAATCTTGAGATAATTATTTTTAATAGATTTACGTAATAAACTAAATTTTATCTGAAATCATTGATTCCTTAGGATCGATGTGCGAACTATAAAATTCAAAATCGTCCATGGAAACATAAATATTGAATAACCATATAAATTAATTAATTAATTAATTATTTAATTATGTGAACCGTAGCATTATTTTTTTGCTATTTGTATGTCGAAAGATCGACAACTAATATATTCATTGATTTACATGTTTTGTTTCTTATTTCTTAGTTTATTATTGAATTAATTTATTTATTCATTACTTTTCTTTACTAATTAATGCATTTTATAAGCAATTGTAATTAAATATACGTGACAATTGTGTAAGACCAGACTTTGATGTATGATGAAGCAAAATATGATTGCATCAATTATTTATTTGTTTAATTGTTAAAATTTTTCTTTTGTGTTCCATTAATGTTTAACCATTTATCTTTATCTATATGCACTTGTATTTGTTTTAAAATGCATGTTAAAAAATTTTTTACATTTTATTTGCCATTTTATTAAGCGTCGAAATTTTTTTAGCTTCCCGATGGTTTGTTTTGGTGTCTATTTATTTATATAGATATTATATCAAATTTTTATTGTTTTAATGGTCTATATTGCTTCGGGAATTGCATATTAACATGTACGCGTTTATTTACACGATGATAATGGTTAAAAATATTTAAAATTTAACAAGAAGAAAATTATTAATTTTCCGTGTAAATTAAATGTTAAAAAAAATTATTAATAATTATAATAATAATAATAATAAAAATTTAAGAAAAAATAATAATGATAAATAATAATAATAATAATAATATTTACAGAATGAGTATCATTTTAAATTTATTTCCTCTTTTATACTTGAGTTTTATTGCATTTCCTAATCTCAAATAGTAACTTTAATTGTTACTTTGAAGCTGCGCGACAGCTCTTGGATGCTAGAAGGATAAAAAATCTCTAAAAAAAACACGAAGTAATTTAAATTATCATGATGAATTTTTTAATTAATTTGAAAATTAATTAGCACATTTACACTTGAAAATCAACATTATTTTTCCCATTATAAATTTCCGTCATTTTACAGTAAGTGATAATGTAAACTTATGCTTTAGACCAATAAATAACCATTTTCATTCAAATAATGATTTATTATTTTCTGTTAATCAAAAAATACACCATTTGTGACCTTAAACGCCTCTATTAATGTGTGCACGTAAACAAGTATTTGTCAATAGGCGTTTATGTGTGACATTTTTCATGTAAACGTTCGAGTAGCGATACTACATTCATTATGACAGATTTATTATCTTAATCCTCTGTTATTGTTTCGGAGTTTCTTTTTCATTTCGCGACCTCGATAAATTCGTGGAAAATTTCAAAAGAATGTTTATCCTTTGTTATTGTCTAGACTCGAGGTTTTTTTTTTGTCTAGTGACCCAGATGAATTCGCGGTAAATATTCGACACAAAATTCTCATAAATTTCCTAGGAACCCTTTAAATGCCCGTGATAGAATAACGTCATCATTTTTTGTCGATACTTTTACTTTCGTTGCCTTTAAATACTCACAAAACAAAACAGTTTAAAAATTATTTTAAATTAAGTGGCATAAAACGAAATGAAATTATAAAACTGTTTTTTATTCTTTTATTTTATAAACAAATAATATATTTTCAAGCAATTAAAATTTAATAAATTTAATTAAGCAATTTTATCAACAATAGTAATGAAGAGAATAAACAATGAATAAATTTATTAAAGGAAAGTTTTTCACTTACAATAAAATGGCGGAAATATTTTTTTTACATATACTGTGGTATTGGTCTACTTGACTATACTGCAAATCCAAGATTTATGAAGTGTGCGAAAATAACTCGCAAAAAACATGTTCAATATATAATTGCCAAGAGCCACTGTAGGTGTAGGGCAATTTGACATTGAACAAGTTTCATGTGTGTTTGTATAACGCACATAGATTTTCAGTGTATTTAATCAATTGTTTTCACTATTGTGGCGGATTGTTATTTATTACAATCGGAGGATTGTGAAAGAATTGGCGTCATTGTTTTTGGTAAACTATAATCATGTTGATGATTTATATCATTATTTATAGCAACTCATTTTATTTTAGTTATTTAAATATTTAATATTATAATGATTATTATTCATATTTATTATCAACTATTAATTATTAATAATAATATTATTATTATTGTTATTATCATTATTAATATTATTATTTATTAATTATTAATATTATGAAGATTTTTGACTAAAAAGAACATCGAAATTTGAGACTTGTCAGTGCTACACAGCCAATCTCACCCATCTTATTACTTTGTAATTGAATTACATGACAATAATGTATTGTATAAGTGTTCAAAACATCAATAATTATATACAATTTGTGTGAAACAATTTTTCTATTTTATTCTTTTAATATTTCATCAGTAATTTTTATTACTTAGGTGTTCAAAGCTTATTTGCTTGAATTTTTAATCTTTACTTATGTAAATTATTTGTTTATTTTTTTTTGCTATGGATCATCACCAAACACTGATATAGATTGAATATTTATTTTTTATTTCATATTTATAAACGTATGGTTTGCAATCATGTTTTAGTTTGTAGTGTTTATTTTTTTCTGTATGCCTAAACTGTTTATTATCTTCTCGATTTTTGTTTATTATCAGAACTTTCTTCTTTTGTCAAGTTCAATTATTTAAAAGTTGTAGATTTTAATCATAGAAAATTATATCTAGGTAATATTTGATAAACTCTTTCAGCAAAAGACTATTTTTTTTTATCAAATAAAACTCTTTGTTAGTTGAGATAATTTATTGATTCAAAATTGAAAGAATTAAAAACGTTTTATCTCTTATTACGTCCCGGCTGCCGCGCGAAATGCTTATTTATTGTAATTAATATTATTTAGGATATAATTTGAAAAATTTTTTTTTATAATTCTAGAATATAAATCCCATTCCATTACATTCTTTGAGCTGGTGTTTTACCCTTGTAGTGTTGATTTTTGTTGTCTGATTTGTTTAAAATTTATCATTTATAATTTTTTTTTAATTATTATTCAATCATTTTTAAAAATTTTATATTTTATTTAGATTGATAAAGAATAGTTTTTCTGTTTTCTATGTAAATGGATCTAACTAAAATTTTCTATCAAATATGCTATCAATTAATCCCATCCGATCAAGAAAATGTTGTTTTTTATTTTTTAATAACATTATCTAATCGTGCGAGCTTCATTCACCTTTCTTAATTGTTTCATTTTGTTTTAATTTAATTATTTACTACCATTCTTATCTATTCATATTCTTCATTTACGTTTATTGCATTTTTGCCATAGTTTAAATAATTCATTTATTTAAACCATGTGAGTATTTTTATACAGAAAGGAGTTTAATTGAAAAATGGACTTTTCAATAAATGAATTTTACATTAGAATTTGATGTACATAATTTTTTTACTTGGATCACTTGGAATTTAGTCGTCCATTTTTATTACTAGATTATAATTAAAACCTATGTGTGACTTATTAATTTATTAAAAAGATTGATTAAGTGATTTTTATATTAATTGATAAACTTAATTATAATTAATAGGTTACCTTGTTTTAATTGCACTTTCAAATGCATTTTAATTTCTAAAAATTTTTTAAAAGTATTCACGTTATTTTGTTTTAATTAAAAAATCATCAACACTGAATTAATCACGTAGTTGAAGTAATTTTTATCTTTTGAAAACTAGTATTTTATTTAAGTTGATCTAATTGTTTTGATCTGAAACATGAACGAGCTCGCCATCATTTCGTTTCGCAGACGTATGGTTTAGGATATTTTTTTTTATTTATTTCATTACCTATTATCAGCAATTCAGTTGATCGTTAACTTTTCATTTCATTCCCTATTACTATAATTTTCATTATTATTATTATCATTATTATTAATTATTTACTATCATTTTTTAAATAAATTTATCGTATATTCAGTGGACATTAATCGAGTATTGCTACGTTTACATTAAATTGACACCGATTTCATAAGTCGAACACGCTCGTTCTTCAGAAATGAGTTACAAAACGAACACAAAATGATCGCGGCTCACCATGATGCTCTTCCTTGGAATTGTTCTTCCATATCCTCAATAATTATTTTACCCTGTTTTTAATGATAATTCAACATTATTTAAAACTTATTAGCAGCAATCATAATCACACTGATAATATTCGTTTATAATTGTTTTTTAATCAATGAAAATTCACTTTTGTGTTTTGTGAACAAAACTTAATGAATTTGTATCACAATAACGACAATAATAATAATAAAAATAATAATAATAAAAATGGTTTTTTTTTGCATTGTGATTAGGTTAAGTGATTAGGTGAGTCTTGGAATTACAAGATTATTTTATTTCATTAAAAATTATTCTCTAGTTTTTTTATTTCTTTTAAACATCAATCTATTAAAAGTTTTGTTGTATTTATTCTTTTTCTTATTTTTATGCTACATGGAAACGATTTTTTGCATTTGTGTATTGTTTTATTATTATTGATATAAACCACAGAATTATGAATATACAGTCTGCATAACAATGATTTATTTTATGAAAATCTTACTCGAGAGAACTGCATTTATTTTCCTCATAAATTATTTTGACTGTTCCTTTAAAAATTTTGTTAGATTTTTTATAAATAATTATTGAACATTGTTTCAAATGACAGAAAATAATCGTAGAACGGAATCCGATAAAAAAATTGTAACGACGAATAAAGCTTTATGTAGATAATTTATCAATTTCAATCCTCAATTTGCCTCTTTCACAATTCTCTTTGTTGTTATGACGGAGTGCATGAGTATCTAAAATGATATTTTAAAATTTCATTTTATAATTTTCCACTTTTTATCTTTTCTGAAAATCCAACAACAGTAACGATAAAGTATTAGATTATAAACACATTTAATTTTTAAAATTGAAATTAAAGATTTGATATTTTGAATTTTTCAAAAAAACTTTTTGATTGTTTTTTTTTTAAATTTTTTTATAAAGATTATTTAGAGCTTTATTAGTGTTACTAGAAAACAGAAAAATATTCCGTTTTATCTATTTCTATCTCATGAATTTTCGTATAAAACAAAAACTTGTTGTTCAATTAAACAGGAAGACACAAGATTTCAATTTGCCTAATCACTTATAAGCTTATTTATTTCACATTATTATTATTATTTTTACTGTTATAATGATTGATTTATTATTATTGTTATTATTATCATTATCATTATAAATATTATTTATTTTTGTTGTTTTTATTTTTATTATTATTAATGAATAATTATCAGTATTTTATCACGCAGAATATCAATACTTAAAACATGAAAACCATCTCTAATATCTTTTCATACAATATTTTCTTTTAATTCTTTCTTATGATTATAATTATTCATGATTATTTTGTAGTCCGTTTTCATAAAGTATCTTAAAGTTTAAGAAAATAACTATGGAAAGACATATATTAATCGAATCATTTGTCGGATGTAAAAAAATTGTAGAGAAAAACATGAGGATCTTTTAAAAAGTTTCGTCCACCCGCGAGAGTCGTCATAATTTCATAATTAATTAATTAATTTCATGATCATTTTTATCTAAACATTCGTAAGAATAAACATCAGAATACTAACAAATTAGTGAGTTGTTTTATAAATATCTCAAAACGCACATGCCTTAAAATAAATAATTATTTCCATTTGATAATACATTGTCAATTAAAAAAATTGGAAAATTAGTGTAATCAAATGACCAAATATATTAATTATAATAATAATGATGAATAGTGAAAATAATTAATAATAATATTCATACGTGTATTGGTATTGTTTCTTAGTTTTTACGAGCCATACGTTTGTCTATTAGTTATTAATTATGTATCATATATATAATTTATTTATATATATATATATATAATATATTATAGACTTAACTGTTTAACTTTTAGCAATTAATAATTATTAATCATTAATTTGTTTTATTATATTATTTATCAATGTCAGAGAATGGGCGTTAGCGTATTTTCATTGTTCTTTTGTATTTATTTTGATTGCAGAAAAATGTTTTATCATTTTTCCGATCTCCGTGCCGCCTTTTTTTCAAATAATTCTAATGTGTAATGCTTCTTGTTTTATTGTAATGTGTAATAATTTGCTTCTGGATGAAATATTCTCTATTTTTTTCTGTTTTGGGGTTTAAAATTGGTTCATTTTTCTTAACTTATTCTCTTAATTACTTTGTTTATTGATGTTTTCCGCTTTTATTCTTTTGTCTATTTCTCAACTTGACTTGGTCTTTTGTATTATTACAGATTCTATTCTTATAATCTTTAGTGTGCTCTGTCATCCATATCTCCGTTACGCTTGAACGCAATTTTCGATATATCCGGTGTTAAAACTCTTGCTACCGGGAATGATTTCGCTCATCTTTATTTTTTACTTTTTTTTTCTTACCCATCTGTTATATACATTTCTTGTAATTTTTTTTTTTTTTTACCATCAGTCTTTCTTTTACCAATGTACCGATAAGATATAAATAATTTATATATGTTTATAATAATATATATATGCATATATATGCATGTGTATATATACATATGACATATATATTTGTTATTAAATAAAATTCCCCAGTGTCCAGAAGCCTTTCATAAAAGTTTACAAGGCGTTTACGTCACTCGTTGTGCTGCTAATGTTCTTAAGACGCTCGGCCCTCTCGTCCATCCTAAAAAGAAGTCAGAATAAATCATATAGACATTGTTAAAAATAACATAAAAATATTATGTTACATTATTGTTTACTTCTCATTTCTTTTAATATTTGTTTTGTATTATTTTATAATTTTACTAACGATATAACAAATATTTGTTTCTAATTAAAAATTTATTGCTGAATAAATTGACATCAAAGTGATGTCAATGTCAAAATAGAATAAATTCCAGTAATTAAAAGAGAAGCTAATATTTTTAATAAAAAATAAAGTTATATTTATAAAGTAAGAGATGATTACGTACTTGTTAGGTCTTAACAAGGTTCAATGGTAGCCATTAGTGAACGCCGCTGGTATTAGAGGTCCCTGAAACATCAGATAAATAATTTAACATACTATGAAATATTTGTCGGATTTTCTACTATTCTTTTTGCTTAACAGAAAAAAGAAACACAATAATTATTAGTAATTAAAAAAAAAAAATGACAAAAAAGTCTTGACCTTTGTCATCATGAATCAGGCTATTAAGGACACTCTAGTAAGTTTTGTTAGTAATGTTAGCCTCTAAAAGCGCATCTCCAGCCTTACAGACTGCAATAGTGACATCGCAGACAAGTTTGGAGGATCGAAGACGGTACGCAACAATAGGCTGACTATTTATTATTATTATTGATGAATTGATTTTCATGTTTTCTTAAGATTTATATAGATATTGACATTGATACTGTACTTGATGATTTACGAGAATTGATGGACTTACGGGACTATAGTTGAGCGGGGCGCGGGACACGGCGATCGCGGGAAACGCGGTTGTAGGGGGCTGCGGGCTAGCTGCGGCCTGGACGTAGCTGGCGACTGCGGAATCCGCGGCTGCGGCTGCTACTGCGGCTGCTGCGCTCGAACTGTACATGTCAATGGGCCCGGGAGAGTTGGCCGCGGGAAAGGAGCGACCTTGGGGCCCTCCGTGACCTCCGGCGCCATGTGGCGAAGCCGGTGGAAAGCCTGCTTGTGCTGCTTGGTAGTTGTTCATCACTGCAAATCAACGCTCTTATTTTACAACATCCCTCATTCATTCTCAATTTTTTTTCAACTCCCCATTAGGAAGTTATTTTAATGGGGTCGATTTTTAAAATTTGTAATTTTGTCATATCTTTACGTTTTGAGACATTTGAAAGTATTTTAGAAGGTTTAGTAATGGATGTACGTACGTACATTTGTACGTATGTATGTCCGATTTTTTCGTTTTCATTATCTCAAGAATCACCGAAGATATCGACTTCAGACTAATTTTATTTGAAAGATAATACAATGAAAAAAATCTGAAAATACGTTTAAACAGATTCGGTCTAGCCTTTTTTTTTAAAACAAAAGGACTGTAAAATAAGTTGAATGAAAAAGATATTTGAAGTAAAGTCTGCTTATTGAATAATTAATATTATTGAAACCTAAGCTCGATATCAATACAATATGATTATCAATGACTTCACATTACTCTAAACAATTTCAGTTTGTTGTAAACAATCAAAAATAGTTTTAATTTATTCAATAATCATAGCTGTGTTTATTTTCGACAAATATCAATAAAATTTCGTAAATAACTTGATGTAATTGTACAACTGTAGATTGTTTATAATGATACAATTTATAATACACAACAAAAAAGATGACAAAATTACGGATTTCAATAAATGGGGCACAAAGTACACCCAGACCCATTTTTTTTTATTATCAAGAAATTTTGTGTAAAGAAATTTTTTTACAACTATGTCGTTATCTTTGGAGATGAACATATTTTTGATTCATTTTTTGAAAAGTTTATGATTGAATAGAATTATTTAATTTTTTGTGACTTGTATTGAGATAGACACTTGATGTGACTCTTTCAGAGTAAAATTAATATCCTTCAATAAATTAATCTAACAAAAATTTGTTCACACAAAACCTGTTATTATTTCATAAAAACAAATTAGCACTCTTGATGTTAGTCAATGATTAATTCAAAAAAAATCATGCAAATCTTTAGTAATCGTGAGAGCTAATTTGTATTTTTTTCCATCTTTTCACTTCCATAGTTTTGAAGCATTGCCTTAGAATTTTTTTTTTGTCGAGCCGGGGCACGGAAGAAGTTTTTGCGGTCTTGGAAAAATTCTTAAAGGATTTATCGTGGATAAATTAAAGCAGGAAATTCAAAGTTAGCAGTGTAGTATATAAAAGGAAAAGAGTAAGAGAAAAGAGAAGAGAGCGAGAAAGAGAGAGCGAAAATACCTAAGAAAAAAAGAGAAGATGCGACATGATGACAAACCGAACGCGCAGCGTACAATCTAAAAACCCATTCAGCTTTTAAATTCTCGACAATAGCGACCGGTTACAAAGTTTCTTGCCTTGAGGTGGCCGTAGGGCATGGGTGGACTGCGATTCAAAAGTTTGATTTATTTGAGAGAAGATTACGAACGACAGAGAAAAAAAGTAAGAGGGATATCGCGATTCTTTTTAAGAGGTAAAAATTATTTATATTGAGAAAAAAGATAGAAAATCGCGATTCGCCAACGGCGTCTCATCGGCCCAGATACGTTCAATTTATTTAACACTTTCCAATACAATTTTTAATAATATGAAAATTCAATTTTTCGAAGTAATATAAGACAAATTAATCAATATGCAGAAAGCTAGTGTGTATAATTTAATTAAAAATATTAATGTTATTTCGAAGGATCCTAGGTCTTTTTTAACACGGCCCGGAATTATCGAAATACCTCAAACATTTTTTCGTTAAATCAGCACTAGAATAGCCTTTTTGTGGATTTGAATTATTCAAATTGTAAATGAAATTGTTCACGGTACGTAAATTGATTGATGATTAAAAATACTGTAAATACTCATAATTTAATATATCGTTATTATTATTTTATTGAATCAACAATTCTGTCAACTAAATATAACTCACTATTTTTACCTCAAAAATTGTTTTCAGGTTTCAACAAAGAAAAACTTAAATCCTATAAAATTTACTGGATATGTTGAAATAGAAAAAAAAGTACTCCTTTGTGAGAATTGAGAAAAAAAAACTGTGCTAAAATGAAATTTCTATTTTTATTACGCGAATACTTTTCATTAGAATGAAAACTAATAACAATTTAATAATTCCGTCATAAATTATGAGTACTTGAAGTTATGAGTTGAGTTTTGAATGTTCAACAAAAAAAAAAAGTAAACAAGATAAAAGAAGTTGAAAATGTAGGTTGGGATTGTGTTTCATTAAACTTATTATATATTTTGAGAAACTTGAACCGTGCTTTTGGCTGCGACTTTATGGGTGTTTTAAAAATTAAAAAAAAAAAAACTATAACAAGACAAAAAAAAAAACTTTGAGCGCAAAATGATGGAAAAAGCAAGTAGATATTGTATGTTTGATGTAACGTACCAGAAAGGGCTTGCGTAAGCAAAGGCGTGTTGTTGTTTGGAGTGAGTTGTCCGTTGGTAAGATCCACTGAAACATAAAATTTTGATTCACAACTGTTCGAAAAGATTATCGGGTATGGATGCAGTATTAAACCTTTATTTATTCTTCATATGTATAAATATATATATTTTTATTTTTTATATAAAATGCAATCGACTCTCTTTATTATTCGTGTCGTCACGCTATATTATTTATTTGAAATTGGAGGGGAAAAATATAAAATAATAAATAATAAATAAAAAATATTGTATAAATATAAAAAATAGCAATCCTATGTGTTGCTTCGTACCACTTTATTGTCTTTTAATTATTCATGGACGTGACGCTACGAGTCAGATGAGAACCGACAGGCAGAAATGTATGAAACGCGACGAGAATTAACGTCGCGATAACTAATTAATCTAATTCTACTATTTTTACTCTTTAAGTGGCCACTAATGAAATAAAATACAGAAAATCCTCACGCAAAAATGTGTTGTTAATTAATAAAAATTTTAAACATCATTTCCTTTAAATTTAAACATTTTCATCTCGAGTTAATATAAATAAAATTATATTATAATAATTAATATTATTGTTGATAAAAGTATAATTATTTTTCCATGAGGATAAAAAAGGGAAGAGAAATTTAATTGTTAATTAATGATTTAATTTCTAATTTGTTATTATTGATCTGATTAAATATTGTTTAAACAATGGCCATGAGTTTAGATAAATTGTTTCAATGTATTTGAAACTGTCGACTTCATACATTTCTTCCGCAGTGCACTCCGTTGTATATGTTGCATCGTCGTCTCTGAGTACACGCGGCCCGCACTCTCGCCCCCGGTTCCGTGGTAGTACACTGCCGGCACTCCTGACATTCATAAGAACAAGAAAAAAAAAGCTGAGAAAAGATTTTTAAAAGAATAAAATCATAAAAAAAACGATATATTTACCACAAATAATTAAATCATAAAACAATAATAAAATAATAATTAATTAATATTGTTGTTAATTTTTTAAACCAATTGACAATTGTTTTTATTAACATACTAAAATTATCACTATACTGCAAGAAATAATTATCACGATTTATTAGTAAAACTTGCTAATTGAACTTTTTTTAACATCTCTTCACCGGTTCTAATTTGAATAAAAAAAAAGTTTATGTTAAATAATGTTCTGAATGCGATATCAAGACACAATTTTAGATGGATTTGATAGAAAAAAATTGTAGTATTAATAGACGATGACATATTGACTCCTCCGCTCTTTATTTTAAGGTCAATTTAAAAAAAAATAACAAAAAAAATATTCTCACTATCATAATGTAAATCTCACGAGGGTTCTGAATGGTTTTGTCATCCGTACGTAGAACCACGTGGATGCCTCGTATAAGAGTCGTTAAGGATAAGGACAATATAGAAGCTCTCGACAACGACAGGAATAAAAGGGGATTACGCCAGTAACTTTTGTCACCACAAAACTTTCCGAGGGTATAAAGAGAGAGCTAGAGAAATGAGAAAAATGAAAAAAAATAATCGAAAATAGGACATTGCTTTGAGAAATGGCAAAATCATAAATTGTGATTTGTAGTCAACATTAGGTCGATAAAATATAGATAAGACAAAAATAATATAAACAATATTCAAATTATATAATTTTCAAGGACTTTAGATAATTTATTTGTTCGATAAACTATTTTAATAGATCAGTATACGGAGAAAGAACATTTTGGCTCTACAAAAAATCTTAATTTAATTGATTAAAATAATTCGAAATATTGGTAATAAAATATTTGATGTTAATGTTTATATTAAAATTTTATATAAATTAATATTTATATATTTAATCGTTATTCAAGGAAATTAAAATATAAATAGACACTACATAAGTAATCATCAGAATTGAATTTATAAAAATGTTACCACGGCAATTTCAAAAATATATTTTATTTTGACCTTTTGAATTTTGAGTTTATGAATTTAAAAAAATGTTACCAGTTCACAGAGAAGCGATTTCAAAGAAAGAAAATTAGTACAGAAATAATCAAAAATAAAAATGGAGATAAGAGATAATTGTGACATTGTTTGAAATATATATTTCTTAAATGTTTTATTACTAGAATTAAACTCGAATCCATTTGAGTAAAACGGAAATTAATAGTAAAAATAACCATAACAAATGTCCTGTAAATTTAACTTTTCCTTCTAACTCTCTCGTCCAATTCCAATTGAGAATGAGAATAGAATACTTTACATGACAACGCAATTCTTATGCAGACAATTTTCTCTTATACAAGGAAGGGATAAGGTGAGAGGATGTATAGGGATGTAGGCCAAGAGTTCATCTATTTCGAGTATATTTCTAGCTGACGTAAAAGCGATCGAGTCTAGGGATAAGGGTGGGCAAAAATCCGATGGGAAGACTTGGACGGCCATTGGCTAAGTTCAATCTTTCTCTTTTTCCAACTGCTCTGATGTTGACCAGCTGATGGCAATTGACTTAAGAGTTGAAATATATTTTTTGAAAAGTCTTTCAGGATGCCAATTTTATTTAATGATAGAAAAAAAAAGATAACAGTGGCTCGAAGCAACACATTGGAGTTACATGAGCCAATTAATTATTAGAAATGAAACTGATTCGTTATAAATTATTAGTAAATATAATCCCAAATATTTTTGCAAAATTCAAGTTGGCTGGACATATTTTATAAATTCCAAATAAATTGAAGATAAATTCTTGAAGACTAAACATTTAATTTTAATTTCATCATTTATATTAATATTATTATTAGTAGACATGAAAAAATACTATCTACATACGCATTATTAATAATACTAATTTGAATACTAGACTAATTATATACTCTAATTAACTAAAAGTTAATTATTTTATGGCACACTCATTAACAATAATAATATTAATTCCATCAACATATTTTTATAAAACACTAATATAAGTTAATATTTTAATATTTTTTCAAATTTCTATATTACTTGTCAAAAATATTGTCACACTCATTCATTCACAATTCACAAATATTTAATTAAATTAAAGTTATCAATAAACATCTTAATGTAACTGAAACTCACTCTTAAAAATATCTACATTCTAAAACTACTAAACTAGTTACTAGAATCTATACTTTTGACTCTATTAAATACGTCAATCACTCTCTCAATAAAGTTCAAGAGATAAAATAATTTTTTTAAACTGCAAAAAGCATTTGTTAATGAACCAAATTCGCATCAACTTGAAAGCGAATTCTTTTTTCAACAGATTTACTCGTCGAATATTTTTCTGATGATTATTGTTATTATTATATATAAAAAAAAATAGAATAAATAATTGTGTGTTTGAATAATTAAATTAAATTGCTGTTTGGTAAATTTAATGTAACATTAAATTGTTATCTAACTAATGCAATTGTCAGTGGAAAATTGATTTACTACTAAAAGTCTAAAAAAATTATCTTAATTAATAGTCTGATAAATAAGTAATTGATACAACACAATAGAAGGATTAATATAATCAATTATTGATAAGTATAAATACATATATATTCATGGAGGTCGAATTCTGTCAATTTTGCATCTCCATTGTCACTCGAATTCGTTGCTATAGCCTAAGACCTAAGTAACTAGCTAGAGTTAAGTACTTGAGTAAACTTTACAGAGGTTATAGTCGGATAACAAGACTCTTGCTACTGACTGTGTCTAACCAGAGGCTATTTAGCTTCATTTAGTTTGAACTTTCTAGGTCGACTACACTCTTACGCCTTTGCGGATCGGTATCATCAACTTTTAGTGTTTGTTTTTACCTTTGATTACCGTACATAATGAACGATTTACCAAAATTGCATAAAACCATGCTAACTTAAAGCATAAAAAATCATCATACTTATCTAATAAAGTACCGATTAGAAATCCGCAGAGACGTTATTGCTAATTTATTCTATGGATCAACACTCTTTATACGACGACAGATGTATTACATGTGTTACTAAAAAGATAGTAGGTTAGGTAGATGGAAAATTACTCGCCCCTAGGTAGCCTTGCATCTTCAGAGATTGTTCTTTCCTCATCGTCATCGCTGAAGGACTTCTTCAGTTATTTTCTCCTTCTCCATCCACTTAGAACTTTGTTCTTACAACTCGCAGCTCGTGAAGATGTTCTTCCTTTATATTTTATTTATTTGTTACTTATTTGCTTTTTTTTATAGCATTCGAAGTTGAAAAAATAACTAATTAATTTATCAAATAAGCCAATAGAACAATTTCATCCCACCAAAAACGAACTGCGAGTTAAATTGTTTTTTTAGTTTTCACAAGAACTGAAAAACAAAGCATTCATGCAGAATAAATTGCACTTACTTAACTTGTGTAAGTCTCTGAAATATTTTATACAGAGTTTTTTTTTCATTTAGACATCATTCGTGCTGCTTTTGTTAATGTTCTAGTGAAAACTATGCATTATAGTGATCAGAGTAATTGAGTTAAGTGGAAGTTTTGGAAGATAAAGACTAGATTAATCTATGAGCTAGGCAAATCATTGAACACCATCAATATACAGGAGAATGTAATTAAGTTATTTATATTAAATAATGAGTTAAGAGTTTGTTTTGTGTAATATACGTTACTTTAATCTCTAATCTAATCTAATTAGATAATATTAAGACGTACTCGAGCCAAAGAATATGCATAGACAGGTCATCCAGCGAATTCGAGTAAAGTTTTGATGTATTTCAAGAGTAATATTTTCACATTTGTTTAAAATTTAATCATCAATGTCAATTTTATTCAAAATTCTTCGGGATTTTTTATTGAGGATTGTTGAAGTATGGATATGGGTAAAGAAAAAAAAAATTTTCATTTGTTTGATGGACTTACCAGTTTTAATGATCATTATAATAATAACAATAATGATAATAGTAATAATCATTATGATAAGATTCATTTTTAAATTAATTAATTAAAGTCATTCTTTTGTAATTTAATCATAAATATGAGAATAAATTAAAATATAATACAACTAAAATAAAATATCAAATGCAATCTAACATTCGACGGTTCTCCTAGGCATTCCACAATGATGAACATTTTTCGATTGAACAAATTATATAATAAAATATATTAACCAAATGGGAATGGAATGAATTCTTGTGTAAGAAAATTTATTCATTAAGTTGAAACTATATTTTAGAAAATGTCTGAGCTTTTTTGATCAAAATAGAATATTTTTTTTTATCACGAATTTTCTTTATTTTAAGGATAATTTTTTTAAAAATAATATAACTAAAATTTTTTTTTGTTATTCAGACAGAATATTTCAAAGAATAAGAATTTTTTTAACGTAATAATTCCATCAAGAATCCATTTCATTAGAAAGTATAATTGTTTTTTATTATAATCAAATTGAATAAAAATGAAAATAAGATATGTGAAGAATATTCTAATTTTATCAACAATACTTAGTTCATTACTTAGCATATGCAACTTTCTAATGGGTTACAAAATACATGGGTCGATGATAGAACGAAACAATGAATGAAAATAATGATACCAACTTAAAGTTAAACAAAACATAATAAAAACATAAGAAGAGAAAGTAAATAGAGAATAAAATAATTCGAGTGATTATAAACAAATGTCAGTATCACTTTGGTTTGCATGAGTGTAGGTGTTTCTGTTGGAACTATGATGTTTTTAATGAACTCTGAAAATTACTCTTGTTGTCCTTAGTAAGTATTTTGGTGTATCTCAGTGTAGTTTCCAAGATTATTACAAGTAACAGATAAGTTTTTGTCGCGTAAGTTCTCTTGCTTATGCATTTGCCTTCAATATGAGTATGTGTGTTATATTGTTGTTGTGTG